TGCTATTCACCAGAATCCTTGATAGACTACAGACCCATGTCCCCTAATTCATTCATGGCTGTACAAGCAAGAGCATCATCACCAGAATCTGTGATATCAGTCAATGAGTTCAGACCACTGTCACCAGATTCCCCGTTACCAGAATTTACAGAGGCATTGCCAGAATGTGTAACATTCCTGAGATCAACATCATCTTCACCTGAAACTTTAGCATCATACATAGAATACATGCCATGGTATTTGGAGTCTGACTTCATAGAATGTAGGCTGCCATCTCCAGAATCTGCACTGTCTCAGCATCAGAACATGAAAAACAGGCCATTATCTTCTGAGTCACTGCCTGAATACAGACCCATGTCAACTGAATCAGCCATGCGCATGACCGACAAAAGAGCATCCTCTCCAGAATCGATGCCTGAGTTCAATGAGAACAGGTCACTGTCTCCAGACTCTCCCATCCCTCAGTTTACAGCATCACTGGACGAGTACACCACTATGCGATGGTCGTCATCGCCTGAATCACTGGATTCAGATTCAGAGTGTGAGCTTATGGTCACATCGTGGAGAGCTGCAGATATGGACAGACCATCCTCACCTGAATCCATCTCATCTGTCAATGAGTTCAGACAACTGTTGCCTGACTCCCCAGTACCTGAGTTTATGAGAATATTGTCGTCTTATTTCATGGACGGCGCCCTCGTCGAGAGATCATCTTCACCGGTTTCTTTGTCGTCAGACTCTGAGTTTGTAGCTCTACCCATTGATTGTTGGATTGATGACAGCCCAAGACCCCTAAGTCCTGAAAGTGTTGAATCAGAGAAAGAATTTTGTTGCGACAGTCCCAACTCTGAACTTTTTAGCCCTGCGGGATCTCCTCTGTTCTCTGATCAGTCTTTGCCTAACAGAAGGCCGATGAGCATCTCACCGATACTAATTCAAACGAGTGAGAAAAGGCTTTATTGTCCTGACTGGCAAATAGTGAAGGCATCACAATCAGACGTGGTGTCGTACAAAGAATGGATGCAACATGGATCAGAGTCTTTCTCAGCTTTAGAAGACACTGCTCGTGAGGAAGACTTCAGAGAAGACTTGTCTGTGACACCAGTGACAGATGTTCATAGAAAAGAAGAGAAGACCCTTGACATTAGCGCTGGAGAAGTAAAGAGCAAGACAGCCTCTCAATGGGTAAGACTGAGAGCATGAGAATCCAGCAAGAACTCACTTGGTTTGGACAAATTAGTAACACGCCACCTTTATAAGTAACTCTGTGTGACACATAAGGACATGTCTCAATGAACTAATAACATAAATGGAGCGCATTATTGCCTGGATTGTTTGTGGAAGATACAAATACTGTAATTGTAAATTACTAACCACTCAGTTCTGATTCATCTGACTGACCATGTGATGCTATTAACATTGCATGGTTTGGCTACAAGTATATGGTTCTAAACTTATTTATTTTTATTTATTTAACCTTTATTTTATCAGGTAAGTTAATTGAGAACTGGTTCTCATTTTCAATAACGAAGGAGCTGTTGACTGGATGTTCACTGTAAATGCTAACTTGGTGAAAAGTGCATCCCAATTTCTCCACTGATTTGTAGTTAACTTACTCAGATCATGTTGACATTTCACTTTCAGGCTCCTAATAAGGCACCAGGGGAAACACACTTTCAAACAGACGATGAGATTCAAAGACAAATGCTGTCCACTACAACAACAGCACAAGATGACAGTAAAATAGGTGTGCCGTTCAGTGATGACAAGCAAAAGACTTTGGTTCCCCTGCGGCTACCTGATCAGAACTCGTACACAACCCACAGAAGTGTTACTCCATTTCTACCCACACATGAAAGGACGTCATGTGTAGTGTCAGACAGTGAGTTGTCCCCTAGAGAAGCCCAATCCAGTGAGCTTTTTTCACCCATGTCAACTCAGTTTTTGGTGCCACCAGATTATGAGGCAGTGTTTTCGGGACATCAAACCCTGAGAGTTTCCGAATGTAGCCAAGTTTCCACAAGTGATTTGAGCCCAGTGTCTCCAGTGTTCAGCGAGTCCATCTCAGCTCAGGTTCAAGCTGCTGCTAAGAGAGGGTCTGAAACTGAAGACTTTGAGTTTTCCCCAGACTTCAAGAGAGTCCTCTCAGAATTTGAGCATACAGTCTCAGAATTTCAATCAGGAGAATCAAAGCTTGAGAAATACAGCGAAGGCTTCGAGTCCCCACAACACTCTGATTCAGATCTGGAATTCTATGACTGCAGACAAGCGTTGTCTGACTTTTCTGAACCAGACGACGTGAAACTGGAACACGAGATTACCTATCACATCTCTGAACCCCCTTCCCCAATACCTGGGAGTACTCCTGCTGTCAGCTTCCTGAAAGGGAGCCCCCAGTACACTGGCCAACCTTTCCTTGGAGTAGAAGATTACAAGCGCTTCTCTTCTGGTAGCGAAAGTCTTGGTGAATTTGCTTACGATTCTGAGGCTTCACGTGGGTGTCAAACAGAGAGTGGTCTACCCATATGTGAGGAGCTTCCTTCCAGAGATCAGGGAGGGTATTATGATGATGACGACTTCTTGGGAAGGGTAAGACGTTGAGCATGAGCACAGTGCTGCATTGGCTGATGTTTTACCTGGTTCGGGCTGATTGCTGCCGTGCTGCTTTGGAGACTAAGGAGATTAAATGCAGCGTTTGCACTTTGTGGACTAAGTGAGACTGACAAGTGCATGTGTTCCTCAACTTTTAAGAAAATATCAGAAGTTTCCTAACTAAACCTTTTCACATTGGTGGTGTGATGTGTTTGCTAGGGATGTCCTGATCAAGTGTTTTTTTTTAATTGTTGTTTTTTTGTGTGCTCCTGATCCAATCTGAGTCATACCCATGTACGATGTTCCTAATTAATACACTCTTTAATATTGTAGACTGACTGTAGAACCTGGTACTTTCTTACTGTAGCTACCCAAGGACACTTTTGTGTTTGCAAGCTGAGAGAATTGTGAGAGTTGAGCTAGCAAAGGAGCACCGTGACAGAGACTTCTGTGAGACTGACGAACCTCCGGACAGCATTATAAGGTTAAAGAAAGCTGGACCTAACAAGAACAGTGTTAGATAATCCCAGTGGAATCACCAATAGCTGGGGGGTTGTCGTCATGTATTCATATCAGGCACAGGTTAATGCTGATACCGATGAGTTCCTGAGATCTGCACAAATCCTGATCATAGGGTTGGACTCGGGACATCCCTAGTGTTTGCAGTTTTTCTATTTTCAGTGTTGGTAGCATTGATGAGCTGCTGTAAAGAATCCTCTAACCATTTTTTATCACATCTGCACCTGTTTTGCACGTTTTTGTTTTCTGCTTGTTCCCATTTGTGTGCGAAATAGCATTTTACATACTACTTCAGTCACGCAGTAGCAACACACAGTTATTTATGGTGTACAGGTTTTACCAACACAACAACAGGATTTCACAGGAACTGTACTTGTGTGCTGTTCTCATGCTAGGAATGTTCCAAAAGATATGAAGCATGTAATTAATTTGCAGAATAGTGGCCAACTAGCAAATCTCCAAACCAAATTCAGTTCTTAGTTTTTTTTTTTAGATATAAAAACAACCTCAGATCTTTTTTCTGTTGGACAAGACTTGTGTTTATGAAATGGCCTTGTTTATGTGTATTGGACTTAAAATTAATGATATGCAGAAGATTTCATATAGAGGAGTAGCACAACTATACATTTTATATGCACTGTTGTTTACATCACTGTACACTTTGCTGAAATATACAAATATATACATACGAGCATTTAAGCACCATGATCCCTTTGCCCTTTAGTCATACTTTCTGGGCTATTCCACAGCTTTCACTTCAACATGCCAAAGAACTTCACAGTGTTATATAGGGGAAAGTAATAAGCTTAATGTTTGAGAACAAGAAGCTTTTAATTAAGTTATTAAAGGAAAAAAAGGCAGATAAAGTCTCCTTGTAGTTGGTGTATCTATGGCCTGCTATTCTAATTATAATACAGTGAGGCACACATAAAAAGTAAGTACATGTGATTTGTATTTCACTTTATTTGTTAAGCATTCTAAGTCTTCCACACAGAACCTCCATATTTCTCACACTGGTTGTGATCCTTGCACGTTTTTTTCAGTTTTTTGGACATTGTGCCTTCTCTTCATCTCACGTCACTGAATTGTGCAGCCAAACAATTTTATTTTATTCCCATATTCCATGCGTCTGATGAACCTTTTTTGGCAAACCAATATGAAAGTGAGGTTAAGAGAAAAGAAGGGCTGCCTGCAGGAATGTGCTGTAGTAACACCAAACAGACCCGGTGTGTTGACCCCAATGCTGGTTGTGTGCTGTCTCCCAGGAGATAGCAGAGGAGCTAGGGATGCTGTCCTCTGATAGCTCAGAGGAGGAGGTGCTGACCACCAGGGTGGTCCGACGCAGAGTAATCATTCAGGTAAACAAGCATGATGCAGTGCATTGTGGAGTGATGAAGGGTTAGTGGCTAGCAGAGTGTTAATGCTCCTGGGTGTTTTGACTTTCCAGGTTGCGCTACAGAGCGTCGCCCTACTTCCTGCATTCATTTAGCACAAATTGCTCTTCTTGTAATGCAGAAAGTAGCATTTTATTAGAACATGACCTCTAATCCATATTTGCTTTTTATCATTTTGTTTTTAGTCATTTGTTTCTGCACACTCACCATTCATTTTGTCATGTCTGTCTTTTTTTTCCTGCTATGTAAGTGTTAACGATTTTGTGTTTTGACTTTGGTGTTCCCAGCGGTCTCTTGAATCGCTCTTTTGTCAGAGTGATTTAAAAGATGCTACATGCGCAGTGCTGTAAAATACACCGTGGCTTTGTTGGTGTTTCTTATTCAGCTTTCTCAAATAATGCTTGAGATGTTTTCTTTGCCGTACGCCACATGTTCCTGACCCTAATTTGCTTAAGGTGAGAACTGACAGCACCGTGTTTTGTGTTTTTTATCCAGGCGGATAACCTACCAGACATCCCACCACAGACCGTCACGGAGGAGAAATACACAGATGAGCACGGCAACATGGTAGTTAAGAAAGTAAGGAGCGTTCAGATTTGATCAAAATATCCAAACATTACACTAAAAACACTGACCTCACCCCAACCAGTCGAGGAAGATGGTTGGGGTGAGCCTGGTTCTGCTGGAGGTTTGTTCTGTTAAAGGGAGGTTTGTCTTCCCACTTTTGCAAAAGAACTGGTTCAAGTGGAATCATTTGGATTAGTTGGTTTTCTCTCTGTAATATTTTAAGGTCTTCACAGTACTGTGTGAAGTACTTGAATACTGAATTGGCGCCATATAAACAAAACTGAACTGAACAGAAAAATCACACCACCATCACTAATAAAAACCATTAACCCGGTCACTGTTTTTACATTAAAGCTATCGTCTTGCTTTCCTTTCCGCTAGATCACACGGAAGGTGATTCGTAAATATGTATCTGCGGACGGTATGGAGACACAGGAAGTGACCATTGAGGGCTCTCACCAGGAGACGGTGCAGATAGAGGAGGGGGATTCTGTCTCCAGAGTGGTGAAGAGAACTGTGCTTCACAGTGAGGGAGATCAGAAAGAGGTCAGTGTCGGATGACTCCTGCTTTACCGTAGCTGTGTTGCAGTCCAATGGCAGGAAAACATTAATCATCAGTATATAGGAGCTCAGTGTAGCTCCTACTGCTGTTGCTAATTTGATTTTTTTTCGGAGTGAGACTTTGAAGTTTGGAAATGTCAACTTCTGACTCATAAAAATGGAAACACCAAACATAAAGTCTCCTCTGAGACTTTGTGACTCACTGGATGTAGACTTTGGTTATAAGGCCAGCATTATGAGAAACAACAACAACATTTGAGCACTTACCTACCAACCACACTGACAATGGCAGGTTTTGCAGAGGATTTGGACTGCAGAATAAGTTCATCTTGTGTGGTTCTTTTGATGAATTAGCCATTTTAATGCCATTGCTCAGCTCCCTGCATTCAAAAGTTGTACCAAAACAATTTCCAGTTGCTCTTTAGTCGGGGCACCGTTGCTGCATCCAGGGCTTAGAACCAGCCCAAAGGACTTTGATTGGTTTAAAGAAATACATGATTGAATTTCATTCTCCAACACAGCTCTGTGGAGATAGGTCTGTCCATGTGAGACTACCAGTCTTTTAATGTTGAAACACGCTAAGAGTGTTCAGCATCTTACTTTTGGTGTTAGCATACTGAAATCTGCTAATTGCTACTAAAAACTAAGTATAGCTAAGGTTAAATGGACTGATTTGCAGTTAACTGAAAAAAAATATTAGATATATTAAAATTCCGAGCCAATGACAGCATCAGATAAAACCTAAAAATATACAATTCAAAGTACATAAAAGTTGGCGCCTTGACATCCCGTTGTTTCCTCTCCAGTTGACCTTCTCGGAGCCTCTGGCTCTTGGCGCTGCCACGGCATCGGAGTTTGAGGTGGAGCCAGTACAGGGTCGAAAAGTCAGCAAGGTTGTCAAGAAGACAGTAGTGAGAGGAGAGAGGATGGAGAAGCAGACAGGAGACGCCTCATTGGCTGCAGATCTCCCTTCAGCCAGAGAGGACTTTGAGAAGGTCAGTGCGTCCAAACTAGACAAGATGTTTTATCCTGAGCAGATTTCAGATATTTGACAGAAGACCTCTTGTTGATAGGAGGATAGTTTGGGGGTATAGTGGATGCAACAACAAAATCACAGTGCAGTTGTACATGTGGTTCAGTTACACGCTAAAACTGACAGTGACGACTTCCGAGCAGATACTTTTGCCAGATTTCTAGTGTTTGTCTTTCCTTCTTCCTCCTTCTGATCTCTCTCCCCTCCTTCGTTCTTTCCCCACCAGGCATTGAGTTATGCTGGAGGCTTTGGGAAAGTGCTCCTGCCTCACGTAGTAGAGAAAGAGATTGTACAGGACGACGGTTCTGTGGTTAAAAGGTTGGACTGCATGGGAGTGTGTAGAAATGGCCCTTTACTAAGAGGGCGTTCAGCAGAGAGTGAAGGCATGGTGTGATTTTGCTGTCCTAACTTTGGTGTTACAGTCGAGACTCTCATTTGTGGCACATTAAAATTTCAAACTTTGACTTAATCCTGCTCACATGTAAATGTCAGTAAAAGGCTTGGTCTACTCACATTGTAGTATGGACATGTAGCAGAGGGCACGTGTGGACGTCTGCTGCTGCAAATAATGAAATGAAATCTGCAAATCCAGTGCAAATGTTATGTTCCAGTTGAGTGTGCATGATGCGTTACAAATTGCTCATTTTTACCTGCATTGTGACAAAAAGAAAAAAGCTCATTTTCAGTATATTTTTGTAGGAAATTATCAATTATAACACAATCACAGTTTCACAGACAGTCATGATGTCAACTTCTAGTTTGTGGACCACTGTTGTGAAGCTTCACGATTGTAATTTGGCCACTTTTTCCCCTCATTATCAACTCTATCAGAACTTTCAATCAGTCACATAAACAACTCTTCTCCATCTGTTTTAATTTATGAGTAGTAGTTGTATGAATTTAAGTAGTCACTGTGAAACTTTGCTTTGCGGCAGCCTTTGGAAAAAAGTGAATACATTTCTCTCATCAATACTGACAGGCTAAAGCAATCATATGCAAAGTTGTATAAATGCACATTCATCTGTTGTCTTTATTTATTACATGCTCTTAGGATAATTTTGTTCATAACATTTATTTTTGGACCCACACCAAAGGTTTTTGTATGTGTAGACATTCCTGCTTGTCACAGTTTTTATTTGGGAAGTCCCAGGCCTCATCTCAAGATTGGGATCAGGGCAGATACCAGCAATTTTTTTATTTGATCAGTATTGGCTGGAAGACCGATAATGTGATTACACCTGTTGTCAAACAGCAAATAGCTGTTTCTAAGGCACTGCCCTAATTTATACCAGCCTGACTTACGACACTGGTTGAAGGTCATGAGGGCTCAGAGAAGATGTTGTCATGGTGCTCCCATGCCAGCTAAACCAGTACAATAAGTGCACACCACCTCTGGTCTCTATGTTATTAAGGGGACTCCTCCTGGTGGTGCAACCAGGTACTACAGCTAGGCCAGAATACTTGAAAAGTGTGTTATCTGGTATTGGCACATAGGCATTTTTTATAGGCAATATTAGCGTCAGCACCTCCGGATTTATGACAATACAACCACTGAAATGCCGACACCATTGGCCTACATCCACCAAACAGAAAGTGACCCCTGTGGCCAGTTGTCCGGTGTTATCTTGGTTATGTGGTGCGAATCATATGTTGTTTGTTTTTTAATTTGTTCCCACAGAAGCCAGATGCGTAAGTCGCGGACCCAGAAGAGGACTGTGGTGAGGGATGCCCAGGGGAAGCACGTGCACCTGGAGCGTCTGGACGACACCCCAGACGCCCTGCAGCCCGACGCACTGCAGCAGCACCTGCACCAACTGCTCCAACGCTACTGTAAGGACGACCAGGAGGAGGAGGAGGAGGAGGAAGGAGATGAGGAAGAAGAAGAAGAGGAGGAGGAGGAGGATAATGATGAGAATTTTGACTGAGCAGCTGCTTCCACTGACCCCCTCCGTACATCTCCCACTCGAAGCCTTTGGTGACGTACTCTTCCTCAGATCACAATCTTTCCCCCTTTCTCGCTGTCCTCGCTGATCACCGGACCGTTTCTTTTCTTCTTTGGTTTGTCGGATAACGGAACAGTATTTTTGTGCTTTAACACTTTTCCTTTGCTCTGATTGTGACCAAAGATAGCACCCTTCATTGTTTCTGATGATTTTTGTCGGTGTTACCCTTTTTTTTTTTGTTTTTTTTTTTGTTTGGTACCCTTCGGCTGCTGCGGTGCGATTAAGGTACGACGCACCAAAGGCGGATCAGAGTCAAAGGGGGCATCTCGGACGTTTCGCCTCACGCACGGGCCTCTTCTTGAAGAACTCTTGTAAACATGTGTACATAGAGGAGATGGGGAGATGAGGAAAAAAATCATGCTTGGACTTGTGGGGGGGGGGGAAACAGAAAAAAATTCAAAGCATTTAATACATTAGCCCACCTAAACCTGCTGTACATGCACCGATTCAGCTGGAGAATGGTCACCGTACAGATGAGATTAATGTTACACAGAGAGTAAAGTGTGGGGGGGGGGGAGTGAATGTGTGTATCATCATGAACTCTTTACACAGCCAAACATCAAGCTGCTGATCTGTTTACAAAGGCTGTGCGATCACACCTTTCGTCTTCCCACGATGCATCCGCCCTTCTTTTGTTTATCTCCGTAAGCGCGTTCACCTTTTATCTGTCGCAGAGCCGCCACCTCTGCTTGTGTATATATACAGTGTGTCTATTGAGAAAGAAACTAGTGATGAGGAATGTCTCGATGCAGATCGCGCACTTAGCCCCGCCGTCCCGACGTCTGCGTCTCACCCTCCGGCGCTGCTTGTCCTCACCTCAGACTGCAGCGTATGACTTCCCTCCATAAATCCTGATAAAGGACAAGTCTGGCTGTGTTGTTGTGAGCGTCACCAAGTCTTGTGAAAATACCCAAACTGTTGCTCCTCTGTTCAGGCTAGCAAATGTGGATCATTCCGCACCTTGATATAGTCTCCAGTAGAGGCACTATTTCCTCCAATTTATAAGGTTGTATTATCAATAAGGTCAAGCAGGCCCAAGGTACGCAAAAGCACAATGTTCATTATGCAATAATTGGATTTTTGTTAAACAGTTTCTTGCAATTTTTCACCACTAAAGCATCAGAATAACTGGTTATGATTAAATGTTACCATCGTAATCTAACTTTGGGCAAAAATCAGTATTTAAGGGGACTTAAAAGAAAAAAAACGTACAGATGTTGGGTTGTCCATTAAATTCAAGAGTGAGTATTTTAGAAAAACAACTGCAAAACAAAGAAGCAAGCTGACAATAAAAACTAAATGCAGTGAAGCCACCTACAATCGGAGCTCAACAGTATCTGTAGAATTTGCTGAGATGTCTGTTTTTGAGCACCTTGACGGCCAACCATTGAGTTGGGACGAGTATTTTGTCCATTTGGGTGTTCTCGTGAGAAGTGTTGACGCTCAGAAAAACATACACCAGACTTGTCTTTTTCCTGACTCCATGCTTACTGTTGTGGTGCTTTGCTTTTACCGCTTGTCGTTCATTTGACCTTTTCTCGTCATCGCTGTTATCAAAAGAAAAAGTCTACTGTAAATCCAAGCAGACGCCAACTTCTACTGACTTCGGTTATCACATCTGTGTCTCCTTATTTATTTATTGCTGTCTGTTTGTGATCCCTGTACTCTCCGGCAGGTGAAGCTGAGAGCGGTGAGTGTGTGTGTGAGTGTGTGTTTGAATGTGTTCTAAAGGTAAATACAAATGAAGTGATTTTTTTTTTTTTTTTTGGCCATCGTAGACAAACAGTTTTGTTGACATGAAAGCTGGCTGAAATGTGTGTTTGGTGTTCATTTGTGGACTTTTATCTGTGTAACAATACGATCCTCACGTTGCCATTTACTTTGAGTGTGATCCAATGGAAGAATAAAAGAAATGTGAAAAAGAAGAGCATTGATTTGATAAATGAGCATCTTGTTTCCATGGTGATAACAATATATACATATTAACAGTGCAAATATCTATGCGGGCATGTATGACTTTATCAAATTATGACTAAAAAAAAAAAAAATGAAACCTGAAACGCTAACAAGGCATAGCAGCTGCAGTGTGTACATGGCAGAACAATAAAACTGTACATGTGTGAAACGGGAGCTGATGTCATTCTTTTGAGCAGCAGCCGCTGTGGTGTTTGTACAGCAGAGGAGGCCGTGATGTCAGGAGCCTTGTGGTTCGCGAGGTTAATTTGACCACTTCCTGTCCAAGACCTAATTAGATGTGAAGGGTTGTTCCACTCAGAGCGTACTTAGCGTCTGAGCTTTGGCTGACGATCTGAGAGAGGCCCCAGTGACTGTGTGTATGTAAACACACATGCCTCGCTGTAGCATTAGTCCTTGCATGAAGATGGAATTGGGTAAAGACCTGTGTGAGTCCACCCATTGCCGCGCTAACTAGACGTGAAGGCTATATGGACTTGAGCATTTTCAGAGGATGTCGATTTGTGTGTGAGGTCCTCGGCGCTGAAGCTCAAGGTGTGCACAATTATTAGGCAGCTTCTTAACCTCAGACAAAATGGGCCACAAAAACCATTGAGCAGCCCTCTGAAAAGTCACAAAATGCCTTTCAGAGGGCTGCAGCAGTGTTGAAGTACCTCAGCTGTTGAGACGTCATAGACTCACCAAGGAAAGTGAACAAAACACACCAATTAACGCTCAAAATGGGCTTTGTGTCAAAAACACTCATGATCTTGAAGGCTTATTCCACCTACGATACGCTTTCATTTCAAGTAAATCTAATTTTAAAGTTTTTCTTTTTGCTCAAAATGTGCTGTACGCATAGTTTCAAAGCTTTATTCAACCCAAAATAACTGTGTGTCCTGCATTTTAACTTGGTTGCAAAGACTTCCATGCTTGGCCATTTGTGTCATTACTACAATTGAATCATTTTACAGGTAAAATAAAGATGGAATCATATGCTACTGCATTTGTAGTCACTACATCTCAATGATAAATGGAATCTTGCTGCCCAACGTGCCACAACCAGAGGGACGGTGAATGACAGAGATTAGCTTGTAATATAATGTACATTTATCTCTAATTTAATTAGACTGCTGATTTAATACAGCTGACAGACTCTGATCATTTCAATGTGCTTTAATCATCTGCTGAAGTTTAAATAATGTGTTGGCGGTGATTAACAATCGTCAACACCTAGTTGGGCTTGCCAAAATTTCATTTAGGAAATCAACAAATAGACTGAGTTAATTTAGTGTGGCAAGCAAGACTGTTTACATTCAGTACTTGTACTCTGATTGTCATTGATGTTGTTGTCAATATATCTAAGTGCTTAGTTCAGGGGTCTCGAACTCTGGTCCTCGAGGGCTGCAATCCTGCAAGTTTTTGATGTGTCCTTCTTCCAACACACCTGATTCAGATGATCAGGATCATTATCAGGCTTCTGCAGAGCTTGATGATGAGCTGATCATTTGAATCAGGTGTGTTGGAAGAGGGACACATCTAAAACTTGCAGGATTGTGGCCCTCGAGGACCAGAGTTCGACACCCCTGGCTTAGTTATTCAGGTAAGTGGGTGGCACTGTCGTTTAAAACAAGGATCATAGGCGTGCAGTCGTTGAACTGTGGGTTCCTCTGTTGCCACATGTGCTACTGAAAGTGAGACAGTCTTGACTGAAGGGGGAGTGTGGGACAAACTTGAGGAGGACTTTTCACCAGAAAACCTCGACTTCATTTATCCCAAGTGACAAAGAAAAAAGGGGAATCTCAGCAGAACTTAATTTACAGTTGCTGGAGTTCATGAAACTCAACCACGTGAGTTTTTCCCTAATTAGTTTCAGGTGAAGTCAGCAAATGAGAATATCTCCTCACAGCTGACTCTGTACATGGGAGACAAAGTTGCTCAAAGCATCTATGTAACGCTATTCCAGTGACTTGTCGGTACGTTCACTATCGTGCGCAGGACAGGGGGTGCTAAGTAATTATACTACCTAACCGAGTCGTAGTGTATCTCGGTGGTTGTCAAATGAAACTGTGGTGTGGGATTGGTTTCTGGCAGTGCTAAAGGCCCAAAAGACAAAATTGTCAGGACATTAGATCAGATTGTGGCAAACACCTGAAGAGTTGGCAGTCACAGTGATGAAAAACAACAAATGTATCATTTGGCATAAATCACACATTTTATTAGAGATTTCTTAAACATACATCAGGCTTGTCCTGTCATGGTAACATTAAATACCAGCATCCCATCAGGAAGTTCAATGTAGATTAGAAAGATAAAAACAAAGTGTGATGGACAAGTGTGATTAAACAACGGAACTTTGTGGTTTTTATCTTTAACCGTAACTTCTCAGATTCTACAATTCAATTTCCCCCAAAACAAACATTTCACAACAACCTAATCTGTGTTTTCAAATGTGAGTCTTAATATAGATATAAAACACCTTTTCCCAGTGGCAGAAGTAGAATGACAATGGTGACTTACTGCTCAGTAATTTCACAAATACTCCAACAAAAAACTGAACAGCTGAGCTGAAACGGGGCGTTTGTGTCAGTGTGAATGTCGGAATTCTACTTGTCCGGCGTGCGACGTGGTGCTGTAAAATGTTGGCGTACACCGGTCGAACGCAGAGTAAAGGTGACGACGAAAAGGAAAGTGATGGTGACAAGCGGAGGGACGGGCGTCGATATCACGATAGAAAACGTAAACAAAACAAAGTGACAAAATTCACATGATTAGCTCCTTACTGTATGAAAATATGATTTGACTGGTCACAGTCACAGAATGGCCTTTAAACAAGTCTATTTCTACAGTTTACATTCTATCATAAGAGGCTCTTCGTACATGCTGCCCTGTGATGATGGAAACAGACAAAAAAACAAACCAAAAAAAACATGTTTCACTTGATTTTCCCTTTTAAACATGTAGTTAAAGTTCCTAGTAAACACAGTTAGCTCCAACGTCAAAACCAGAGAGACGGATCTGGAAAACTAGTCAACTCAGTTCATACGGATGCTGCTACAGGTCAAGCGAAGAGAGCGATTTACGTCGATTACCAAAACTTATACATCACCAAAACAAAGCGAGCTTGTGTTTGAGCTTCAATAGATGGCAGTTCTGAAAAGATACAGGAATAAAAAGCAGATATGTCATATATTGGTCACCGTGCCAAAAAAGGCAAAAAACATCACAATAGCTCAATATGTGTCATGTTCAAATGAAAAAAAAGTACTACGTGGTGACTGGGAGTTTCACATGTTACACCAGCCCAGTAAATGAATGGAGTGGCTCCTGTGGAATCCACTTCTATTTAAAACGTACTGATCTAAAAAAAACAAAATAAACAAACAAAAAAAAACCATCTCAGTAATAAAACATGCTGATGGAGATATTGGAGATATCCTGATATGAACAACCACACACTCTCACTAAAAATGATATTGTCAAGACTTGAACTTTTCTCCCTCTAGTTGTTTTTTTTTTTTTCAACATGTACAATAATCTTCAGTCCAGCAGCGACAATATGTAAACAACACACTGAGGGCGGAGCTCTAGCAAATGAGGGCGGGGATTGGGATTGGCTTAGGGGTTTGATGGACACATGAGAGGCGGGGTGTAGTCAGTTGACTGCTGTAGGCTGGAGGGTTTTGATGGTCCGGGGTGGTCGTCTCAACTGCAACAAAGATCACATGTGGATTAACGGGCTGATTATTGTTTTGCTTGATCAGCTGAATCAGAAGCATTGTGATTTAAGGCCATTTTAGACATAACGTGTTGAATGTTGTCAAATTACTTGTTATTATGATTTAAAGTCGAGCGAGGAGCTAATTTCGACAAGAGAGCAGCATGTTTAGCAGCCTTCACATCACCAGAAAAGTTGCAGGTGTAAAAGGCTCCTCCATTTATAAAAGATGTAACTAGTGGTCACATCTTTTGAGAGGTTCATAACCTTTAGCTAAATTTCTGATGCAATCTTCTAGTCATTAGTAAAACCTGTCTATGAATGTCAGTGCTTTCGACAAGGATGGTTTCCAATTAAAAGCTCCCGTATTGCACCAATTTTCAGCAAATTAATAAAAGTCTTACACATCAATTTTGTAGTTCAGAACACCACAAAGACGGTCCATTACTTTTCTATCAGGCTCTGCCTTTCTAATGTTCTGTCATTTTGTTGTTTCTGAGCAATATTCTGCAAAATAATTTCCTTCAGGATTAATGAAGTTACTATGTTCTCATTTTTTCATGACTGTATAAGTTCTGGTTTCTGCCTTGTTCTAAACATTTCAGTGTCTGTAGCTTTAAATGGAGCTGAGCTGCTGCCCCCTTCAGAGAAATTGAACCACTAACGATTAAATCTACTCATAAAAGCAGTTCATTAAAACATGTTTAAGGCTTACTTCTCTCAGTTAAATTCTATTTTTCCTAAAGTAATGCCATACATTAATTGGACATTTGTTCAGGGCAGAAATGAACTGAGCTAAGCAACGCTTCACAGCTACAATCAGGAACCATTAAGTGATGCTTCATAAACACCTTGGTTTCTTGACCAGTGGCCATATTTTGCACCTGATTTAACAGAGAGCTAAAATGAAACCGGAACTTGTGGGTTAAACTGTAGGAATAAGAAAACTTCATCCAAAATACCCCTAACATTTAAAACAACGCTAAATCCAGACATGAAACACAGCCTTCACCAACAGTATGTCATCTTGTTTGCTTCATTATGCAGATAATGATGGTGGGTATTTTCTAAATGATCTCTTGCTTTATTCATCATTGATCATTGTTGAGCTTACTTGGTGGGCACGGTGGGCGAGCCGGAGCGGTGGAAGTGGATGTTCTGCCACTTGCTGTCGCGGCGGTGCCAGATGCGCGTCTCCTCTGACTGCATGGTGCGAGGCATGCCGCTGCCGTCGATGTACTGGGTGAGGCGGATGTAGGCGATGCAGGCGGCCTCGTCTCCGATCAGGTGGACGTGGGGGTTGAGCAGGATGGTGTGGATGGGCTGCTTCCCCTTAGCCAGAGCTGCGGAGGACGACAACGCTGTGAAATGCTATCAAAGACCAAATAATGCAGCTAATGACTGAATGTGAAGGTGGAACTGAACGCTCTACACTTACAGATCTCTTCGCAACAACTTAGATGCACATTTAGGGTTCAGAGAGTTGGACAGAGTACACTGGAAACTCCTGTTTACTACAGGGGAATAATAGGGATGTCTGTACTGACAAGGTCGTTTCAAGCCATAGACAAAGACCATTGTTACATGTTTTACTGGGACACTGAAACACTACTAGTTCATTTAACAGATGTGCTCTGGTGAGAGGTCATTGAGCATCACAGAAGGCTTCTCATTGTGTCCTTTGTGATAATTAAACCCACTGAACTGTCCTCCTCCTTTGTCTGCTACAATATTAAACAAAAAGAGGAATCATCTAGTAACTTCACCAGGTATTACATCTACAATACTCAAAGTATGTATGATCGAGGAAAACTACGAAATGCAAAATGACTCAGATCAGACTGACAGATTACTGGACAATAAAAATGACTGCTAGCTTTATCCTTTTGGGTCTAATGTTCTTCTTATAATGACAGTCCAGAAAAAATATGCCTCAACTTCGATACTCTTTTGTGTCCAACGGAAACTCTTTACCGTTCTCAAAGTAGAAGCGGTGAAAGTCTGTGCCCTCCACCAAGTTGCCCAAGGCCTCGGGCTCGAAGGACGTCAGGCCGGGATCGCATATCTTCCTGAAATAGTGCACCAGACAGCCGCGTTAGAGTCGTGGAAAGATGTGAGCGTGTGGCATTACAAGTTTGTCAAGTACGACCAGTAAATTGAACTAACGTGTAGGCCTCAAAGTCTCCGTTGTTGATGGCTTCAATCAGCTGCTCGGTCACTTTAATGATCTCCTGCTTACGAGCTGAGAGACGGAGACAAAGAGAAACAAGGGAATGTTACTTTAAATTTGGATACTTAATTAATGAAGAGAAACACAGATTAAAGATTAAAAATGGGCCGACGTGGAACATGACGACAACATTGATCCAACATCACAACATGACCACGGACTGAGATTCACGTCATTTTCATTATCACAAATAATACGATGTCACGTGAGATGAATGAAGGAAAGACTGGTAAGAAGTCTGTCAGCATGGTTCAACATAGGACAACATCAAAATTACCTTTCATGCTAAGTAGGTAAGCTAGGAAACAGTGAATGGAAAGAATAAGTGCTGTTGTTGGAGATTGAAGTGCACCCACTGCTTATAGACATTTATAGCATGAAGACAACATGAATATAAAGTAAAGATGCAAAACATTTCTTCACACACACACACACACAGCAATACTGTAAATCCATTTTTACCTTCGAGTCCACTGCTGTTCCCAGCTAACTGAACGCTTACAGTCTGCTGATGAGCAGCGAGTCCCTCAAGTGACACCAAAACCAAAAAACTAACTGCTGCAAGATAAAGCATGCTTCTGCGTGAACCTTCTTTCAGTGTTCGAGACCGAAACTAGCTGCTTCAGCTTGATCGGACGGTCTTTTTCAGAAAGGCAGAGTGCATCAAAAGCAACGTTCTCTCCATTCATTGGCTGTTTCTGCAGATAGCCTGACACAGCTAGAACACCCATAGTGGACTTCAGTTGGCAAATACAGTCTGTGCTGACTGTATTTGCTCCTGATAAGCTTGCTTATGTGCACTAAGTAGATAAAATGGGGATTTCACGAAGCGTATTTTGCTCGAGGGAGCTTTCAAAACTTAAAATAATGGACCTCCTAAGTGCCCGAACTTATAAACAATATAAACACGGCCTTCCTTTAAAATTCTCAAATGGTAAACATTATGCAGACACAAGCAGCTGTGTTGACTCAGAAGATGCAGCAGTGTTTGCAAGGAAATATGCATTTCAGGTCAACTTTGAATGCAGGACTTTTAACTTTGAAGCTGTATTATTCTATGTTGCAAATACCTTCCCTTAGGAAACTGATTTGAGTATTCGGCAGTTGAAGCAACTTTAATAAGGTAGAATTCACAGGAAGCAATTCCTTTTGGTCACAGGACTTTTCTTCACCTGTCTCTCTGGAAACACTTGACACCACGTGACAAGAAAAGAGCTACAATCTTGCCTGACAGTTATTCTATGTTTCAGACGAGATTTGTGTCATGTACAAAGAAGGCAAAAGGTTTTCGACCGTTGTTGAACAGCTCCACCTCTGCTTGTGGAACAGTGTAATTCTCCGCAGTATGTGTGGTGTGGAAATTGTGAATTTTGAGCCTCCGTCACAGCGCACACATAGCAGACAGTGACAGAAAGAAACTAAGTAGATA